TTCCATGGTTTCCATTCCTTTAGCTCGCTCACGATTTCTTTTAATTAAGATTTCCTTCGATTCCGTTTTCCCTAATTCCAATAGGTATGTACAATCTGCGAAACCAAAATCGCCAATTTTGGCCTAAAGTCACGGTTCAAAATCGCTTTAAAATAATCTCAAAATACTACAATATTTTCACACAGTGCTGCTACTATGCCCAGGACCAACACCTTTGTAGTTTTTGAATATCGGTTCAATGGCCGCAGAGAAAATGGCCAGAAACGAAAAAAATAACATCGCACAAGCTTCGTTTTTTGACGTTTCAGATCATTTTTGTGTAAATCTCAATTTTTTGACGGTGGTATACAGGGTGATCCTTAATGATATGCGAATTTTTAAGGGTGAAAAATTAATGTCAGTTTGCTTTGTAAGCTATGGTCCAAAATTTTTTCCTTACAAAAACTCGAGGTGTTGGGAAGTTTTAGGAAAAAAATGGAAATTAATTAATATTTTCAGAACCGCTTCAGATATTTCACTGATATTCAATACGTAGTGAAAGTTAATAAAGCTGCATATTTTTCAATGCAAAAATAATTTTTAGCTTTAACAGTGGCGTGCGTACGTATATTAAGAAAAAAATAGTACGTCAATGGTTTTTTGCAAAATAAAAATTATTTTTGATTTCCCCGTTCAATTTTAAACAAATGATCAATCACTCTTGAGTTGCTTTCCTTCGATGCGCCATTTTCGAGTAAAAAAATAAAAACCGTTCTATTGTCTAACTTGCAAAATTATTATTAATTTAATTGGAAAAATTAAACACATTAGGGGTAATGAACAACTGAAAACATAAACATAACATTAAAACCAACGAAATGATTACAAAAATTGTTGAAAATGGCCCCCTTCACTTAGTATGCATGCTTCCGCCCTCCTTCTCATGGAATTGCGCACTCGATGAAATACCCCTGGAGTGTTTTTTATTCTATCACCAGCTGCAACTATTCTTTCTCTTAATTCCTCTACAGTGTTAATGGAACTTGTGTACACTAGTGTCTTAAGATAGCTCCACAATAAGAAATCTAAACTGTTCAGGTCTGGGGACCTTGGTGACAATTCTTGAGGCCCACCGCGGCCAATCCAACGATTTGGATAAACAGTTTGTAAATAATTACGAACCGCTACACTGAAATGCGCTGGTGCACCACCATGCATGTACCACATATTGTTTCTTCTTACTAACGGAACATTATCAAGCAGCAAAGGCAACTTGTTGAAGAAAATTGAGGTAAGTCTGTCCGTCAAGTCGTCCCGGCAAGAAGAATGGGCCAATAAAGCGGTTGCCAATAATTCCTGCCCATACGTTAACCGAAAACTGGTGTTGGAAATGGGTTTCGGTTACGGCATAGGGATTTTCTTCTGTCCACAAATGATTATTGTGGAAATTCTGAATGGCATTTCAAGAAAAATTAGCTTCGTCCGTGAACAGAATCATTGATTCAAATTGCGGATTTTGTGTAATTTTTTTGAAGATACCACTGACAAAAGATCACACGCCTTGGAAAATCAATGAGAAGTAATGCCTGTACTCTTAAAATATGGTAAGGATGTAACAAAAAATCCACATAAATTCTCCAAACAATTTGATGGCAAATATTTAAGTGTCTAGCGATCTTCCTCGTACTCGTTTCAGGATGTTATTCGACTTCGTGCCGCACTGCTTCCTCAATTTCAGGTGTTCTCACACTTAGAGGTCCACCTTCAGATGTTCCTTTTCGAACAGAACCAGTTTCAGCAAGACGACGATGAATATTAGAAAAGGTTCGACTATCTGGCAAAGCACGATCGGGATATCTCTGGTGATAAATCCGTCTGGCTTGCTCACCATTACCGTCGGCAAGGCCATATACGCAATGCATTTCCGGCATTTCTTCATTTGAATAATTCACCATTATTAACAAGATTGTAAAAACTAAATTATGAAAAAGATGTCACAGCGAACAGATTTGAATAACAGAGACTTGTCAGATGTCAGAAGTCAGTGACATATTCCAGAGCTACTAGATATTTATTGCTAAATTGCATTCTTCAATTATTACATTAATTTTCTCGGACAATTCAAGAGAGATCATTTGTTTTAAATTGAACGGGGAATTCAAAAATAATTTTTATTTGGCAAAAAACCATTGGCGTACCATTTTTTTCTTAAAAAATATCGAAGTCAATACCCGTACGCAGGCCAATGTTAAAGCTAAAAATTATTTTTGCATTGAAAAATATGCAACTTTATTAACTTTTACTACGTACTAAATATCAGTGAAATATCTGAAGCGGTTCTGAAAATATTAATTAATTTCCATTTTCTTCCTAAAACTTCAACACCCCGAGGTTTTGCAAGAAAACATTTTTGGACCATAGTTTATAAGGCAAACTAACATTAAATTTTCATGTAGATTCACACCCTTAAATATTCGCATATCATTATATATTTTACACATATTTACGCATATATTTGCTTCAACACCTATTACAATATTTTTGATACGTACTATACGAAGTGCGAGTGCGAGCCGCTGAAAGGCGAACGTACATGCCAGGAATTTACCTGAACAGCTGAGAAGAGGTCGCCAACGATGCCCAGCGATGTAACAATTGCGACTACCATGGCAATATAAATTACTAATGAAAATGAACATATTTGGTGGAATGAAGAATCTCATATGTTTTTGGTACCTTTGTCTCAAGCAAACAATGCCAAGGGCGTGCGAAAGCTGCCCTCAGTGTCCTCGATTATTTAAAAAAATACTTTTTCTCCAGCTATATTCAAGGGCTTTCATAGCCGGCCAATAGAAAGCATACCAAAAGGTAAGACAGTTCATTCCAAGTGAAAAATTTCAATTTTCGCCAAATCAACATACTTTTTTAGTAATTGCCAAACATTTCGAAATCGAGATACGGTTTTTCGTCGGTCTGTCCGCTAATTTTATAACCATCTATAACTTGATAAGTACCTCTCGAATTTTGATGAAATTTTGAAACAAGGTAACTACTATGCCAAGGATGAACAAGCTTTGTAGTTTTTGAAAATCGGTCTAGTGGTCGGGGAGCTATGGGCAAAAACACCAAAAACATTTAAATCGCTTAAACTTTGTTTGAGAGGCTTCTGATCATTTTCAAAAATTTTCTGTAGGGGTTCAAAAGATGTTGGGGTTTGTAGGGGATAGGGGATTGTAAATGTAACGAGTTTTAGTATTAGTCATTAATAAGCTTCTGGTCCCGGTGACAACCGGAAAATTAAATGATAAATGGCCGATGTATAATTCGAACTAATTTTGCAATTGTTGGCGTTGCGTGCACGGTGCGATGCTGCATCGTCGTCAAGGCCAGCTCCAACTGACACACCGCCACAGGAGAAATATTTATATAGTTCACCAATATTTGGATATCATATCCACATATACATTTTTCTGAATGTTATGTTCCTTATTTCCCCATTTCACCTAACGTTTAATTTGTGTACTCCGTCTATGATGGTTGTCTGAGTATTTCGTCAAGTAGATTGACTCAGTCTTATGACGCATTGATGTACTGACAAACCGACAAATGAGAAACAAGGTTTTGTGTGATGCAGATATCATTAAGCAATAAGAAACTTGTGAACCGAAGTTTGAATATTATACTTTAATACTTCCATCATCATTTAGGAAGCCGTTGATTCAAAGGCGGCGGAGGTTTCAGAGATTTCTGCTCTTATTCCAGACATTGTTTGGAGGGGATGAAAATTTTAGTTTGAAAACCGACTGCGGTGAATGGTTGTATATTGTTGCATGTTTGGTGTGAGTGAAAGACCTATTATTAATGGAAACAGAAATATGATAGATTTGCTCTAGATATGCAGAGGTCTCAGATTCATCCACGATTCAATTTCGCCTTTTGAAACGGTTTGACTCAACCCTTTTCGTTAAAACCTCCAACGAAGGCTTAGGAAGTATAGAGTCAATCTACTTGACTCCATTTTTTCACTGATATTCATTCTACTCTACGGCTTCATGTCACGGCACAAGGATTTTCATAGCAGGCGAACAAAAAAGATACAAAGCGTACAAAAGTTAACTCGGATATGTTGCATGACCATTTGTCCAGAATTATGAGGAAGTACACAGTCAACCTACTTGACGCTAATTACTGTATTATTTTTAACCCCCGACGCAAAAACTTCCAAATGGATGAACCGATCTAAATACAGCTTTATCTGCTACTCTATACGAGGCTGTTCAATTGAAACCCATCAGCGTGCGGTCATTCAGTGTTTGTGCGAGGAAGGTTTGCAACCATTGCACATTCATACGCAGTGTATGGAAACGCATGTTTTGCGTATCCTAATGTCAAGGAATCGTGTCGAAAATTTAAGAGTGGAAGAGAGGAGACGAATGATAAGCCGCGACCAGGTGCATTGAGTATTGCATCAACAGACAGGAATGTGGCATGTGTGGAATGATGTTTAGAGAAAATTGTCGAATTTCAATCACAGCAATTTCAGAAAATTTTATTTTGTCTGTTCTATTCAAAACATACTCAGAAATAATTCTGTGTTTGAGCTATTGAGGTTAGAAAATCACCTTTTTCTCATGTAATGTGTGTAATAAATGTTCTGTTAAAGTTGTTCTCATATTAGAACAGATCGTAAAACCTAAGATATGCTGAAAGGCTCATTTCTAACCTCAATATCTCAAAAATGGTTGAATTCAGACATGGGCGCTCTCACGTAAAAAATGTTTGGGTCTGCTTTCACTTTTGGGCTACCCTGTATATCAAAAACATTTTTTATTTATAGTTTAACTTTTTTTTCAATTCCTTATAATAAGAAATCTATAGTACTCCGTTAGATCTCCAACCCTATAACGAGTCTAGGAGCCTTCAAATTTTTAGGTGGGGCAAACCAATTCGAGTGGCTCAAAAAATTCATTTAACTACCCGCATATTAAAAATGACTATACAGGGTGTCCCAGAAATAACACGCCAGAGTGACACGGGAGGTAGACTGGCTTCAGATCAATCAGATAAAATCAACATGACCTAAGTAAAAGGCATACTTAGAGGAAATCGTCAAATTTCAATCACAGCAATTTCAGAAAATATTAGTGTTATTCCATAGAGGTCCAAAAAAGCTTGCAAATGGGTTTATCTTTGCAACATCTCACGGAATAGAAGCAAAACAGTAATGCATTTTTTTTGTCAATAATTGCTGGCGACGAATCTTGGTGCCATAATTTTAAACCATCCAGTAAGCTGTCATCGATGCAACGGAAACCCGCAAATTCTCCGCCACCAAAAAAGTTGTAAAGTTCAACCTTCTGCAGGTAAGCATATGTTAACATTTTTTTTCCGACCGTGAAGGATCCTTGTTCATAGAGTTTAAAGGACCTAGAGTCCATATCAACGCAAACCTGTATAATGAAACTTTAAATCTCCATCACACAATAAGACGAAAAGGTCCAAGGAAGCTCTCACGTGTGTCATTGTTCTGCACGACAATGCTCGGCCGCTTGTTGCTAAGAGTAGCGAAAGAAAATCTTCAACGAAAGAAATGGCGATATTAGAGCATCCATTCTACACTCCCGAATTATCGCCTTGCGATTTTCACTTCTTTGGGTCAGTGAAAGAGGTATTAAAAAGTAAGCAATCCCAGTCGGACCCAGAAGTAAAAAATGCCGTGAAAGAATTCTTCAAGCAGCACCCACAAGAATTCTTTAAGCATCGATTGGTGAAACCATGGGGTATGTGCCTTAAATGTAGTGGTAATTATCTGTAGCTATATTTGCCAATAATTTTTTTCTGGACCACTGCTAAACTTCGTCCAATAAAGACGTTTTATTATTATATTCAAAGCAGCTTTTCTAATAAAAGATATTAAAACGAGATTCACATGAAGGCCGGGGATTTTCTAATTTCTTACGTGTTTCTCTGTAATTTAAATGAAACAAACTTGGTAGCTTTTTTTACATTATTTTATTTTTAATACGTACATATATATCACAAATCCTTTTTGGCTCTCAGAACACACATCCTATGGGCAACATTTTATTACAAAAGAGAACATGTAACTAGTTCTACAAGCATTCAATCTCCTCGCACACATCACTTTTTGATTGAAAAAGTTCTTATGTTACAAACACAGATCTTTGATAAAATTATGTTATAATGTATAAATATATACAGGTATGAGCTCACATTTAAAGAACCATAGGAGAATACTCGCATGGCGAATACACTGGCAGGCCCATATTTAGCACAGTCAAATTGGTAAACGACTACAGCTGCTAAATATCCAGTGACTCAAACTCATGAAAATTGTAAAACGATTATAGTTAAATTTTATAATATTGTGATATTATATTCCACTTTTGAATACAGGGTGTCCCAGAAATAACACGTCAGAGTGGCACGGGAGGTAGATTGGCTTCAGATCAAGCAGATAAAATCAACATGACCTTAGTAAAAGTTTTTGTATGCCATGGCTATAAAGAACTTCTAACCTATTATATAAATTTGTTGTGAAAATAATAATAATTTATTCATTATAATTTAATTTTCATTTAATTGATTAAAGATGTTAATAATGATTCCTAATTATTTATTTGATTTGAAAAAATGATTACAGTAACTACAAGGTTGTAATTTAGCCACAAAAGACAGCTGCACTTTTTTTATTTGTAGTATTTCGAGAATATTCCGACTTCAATGACAAACCTTGGAATTATACAGTTTTTAGTAAAAAGAAACTACAAATGTTATACTAATTTTCAAAGAGCATTAAATAGCTAGTTTTCAAGGTCATTTGCTGGTTCAGTTCGGAACATTTTTTTCACAGTTATTATTCAAACTTTAGTAAAGGTTTTCGCATTGAAGCCACATGTAATAATTTACTTTATACATACCGTGATAGTTTTCAATGAAATGAATACTCGGTAGCCCAGGAAAAAAAATCGCAAGTTTTTCTTAGCCATAACAAGCAAAAAAGTTGCAAAGAGCAGGGATTTTTTGAAAAAACTTAAAAGTGGCAATATCTCGAAAACTAGAAGGCTTTTACTAAGGTCATTGTGATTTTATCTGATTGATCTGAAGCCTATCCTCCTCCCATATCACTTTAACGTGTTATTTCTGGGACACCCTGTATATAGTAAATACCGAATCACTCGTCACTGTAGGAACATTGGAAAACTGAGATCGATGCAATAATGTTATTTTGACACGGTGTTAAAATGCAATGTTTCATATACGCTTTAACTAGTTGAATGTTTCAATCACATAAAATGAAACACTTATTTATTCCACAAACAACTCCAACATTTAAGAAAATAGATATATGAGATATTCATAAGAGTTTACTTGACTCGCATATTTATCTTTCAGCTTCGAGTATTTGCAACACTGATAGGAAACGTTTTTCGAAGGCGTTTATCATCGATAAAGCAAGCAAAAGACCAAATTTGTACACTGTCATGTCTATTAAATATCCGAGCACCCCGAAATTGGCAACCATGCATTTTTTTGTTAAAAGGTTCCTAAATGTTCAGGAGATCAAGGAACTTATGGGTGACCTAGATAATGACCTCAGAGGTCAGTTTCGCAAATTCAAATAGCATCGTTTTTAACAGCAGCTACCTACTTTACCTCTATACCAAACTTGTTAAGAGATCGTATTTTCATGATAGGCAATGATGATAGGTCATTTAATATTGTTGCATCTACAATATACAACTCATTGCCCTCTACAGTATAAGATTCGATCTCACTTAGCAGCTTCCGAAATAGAGTCAATCCCATGTGAAAAGAGTACAATAGTTTTATTTTTATTGTATCAATTACATCCATTATTATTCTGTAATTGTTAGTATTGTATTATTTACGGGGGTTGCATGGAAAAGCAACTATGTTGAATGCTCATCAAATGAGTTTTTTCTTTGTTGCTCTTTTAACTAAAAAATAAATCAAAAAAGTGATTGAAGACAACCCCAGGTATAACCTTGACGTCACACATCATTTGAAAATCCAGTTTGCAAACTCAAATAGCAACTGCTATCTTTGATACCACATTCACCTACTAATTTCGGGTATAAAAAAATTGCGTCGAGTAGGTTGACTATGCATTGCCCACGCAACGTTGTCATCAGATAATAAACGATTATGTTCGGCACAAGTTAGTCCCTCTGACCTAGCTACAAACATATATAACAAAAAAATTGTCCCCACCCATTTGATAATGCTAACGCGAATTTCTTCCCTGATGTAATTATAGACCATCTGGCAACGGTGCTAAACCACACTAGTATAGTAACTCGAAAGAACCGGCGATGCAGTCAGAGTCATTCAGAGGCGTCTACAAATATTTCTCGAATATTTTCGGGGAAATCTGTGATATGGGAAATATGTACTGATAGTGTAAAATTAATGAACATAGAATTGTGTAAATTTACTGCTGTCAAAAATTAATGAAAATGTTCAGTAGGCGTGGGAAGTAAAATGGTTGATGCTGTTTGAATTTGAGGTCATTATCTCATATTGAAGGTCACCGATAAATTCCTTTGATCTTTTGCAGGACCTTATTTTTTTTGAAAAAAAACGCATGGTTGCCAAGTTGTCGGAGTGTGATAATAATATTGTTTTCAGTTTTGATTAATGATATCTATATTTGTGTGGAAGAACAACAAGGAAAGGATCTTATCTTCCAACTTTCTCTTCAAAAAGCAGATCGTCCCATGCTAGCATGAAACATATGGTATTGTTGGCAAATGCATTTGAAGGGTACAGGTGGAAAAAGAGGAATGTCACAAATTTGATGTTTTGTAGTTAGAACCGGCAACATGTAGTCTTAATCCATGACGTATCGGGAACAGGCAAAAACAATAACAGTTCGTAGTTATACCCAATTGAAAACTTGCTTTGCAGGAGAAAAAATATGAATGATCGTCACCGAAACTATTAGCTACTACAACAATTTACCATACGCCAATATGCGACGAAATAATCATTTTTAAGCAGTTCCCATTGATTTTGTTTTGTCTGTACTATATTATTTTGAATAAAGCTTTTTTTGGTTCATTGTTTTTTCTTGTTCGAATTAAAAAAATACTTGGAAATACTTCGGTGTTTGAGCTATTGAGGTTAGAAAATCACCTTTTCCTCATGTTCTAGGCCCTGCGTAATAAATTTTCTCTTTAGAACGTTCTCATATTTGAACAGATCGTAAAACCTAAGATAGGCATTTTGCTGGTTAATAAACCCTTAGATTTTACATGACGAAAGGCTCATTTCTAGACTCAATATCTCAAAAAAGGTTGAATTCAGACATGGGCGCTAACAAATAAAAAATGTTTAAAATCATAAAATGTTCGGTCTGCTTTCCCTCTTGGGCTACCCTGTATATCAAAAACATTTTTTATTTATACTTTAACTTTTTTACAATTCCTTATAATAAGGAATCTATGGTACTCCGTTAGATCTCCATCCCACCCTGTACAACGAGTCTAGGAGCCTTCAAACTTTTAAAATCATTTTTCTCGAGACTTACTTTTTGTGACATTAATCTTTTTTCCCCTGTACGCTTCATTTATTGATGATCGAAAAATCTTAGGTGAGTACAAGAAGCTGCTGAAGTACGAATATTTTATCCAATACACTTATAGAAACTGTAGTCGTAGGCCAACCAAACACAGCTCAATCATTTTTCTATTAGTGGCAAACTTGTAATCGACTATGAAAACGTGGACAAACCAAAGTAAGAAAGTATATTTAGGCCGAAATTAATACCACCATCGTCAAAATGTTTTCCTCTAAAAATCAGGCACTATTCAATGTATTTCATTCTAGGTGGGGCGAACCAATTCGAGTGGCCCAAAAAAATCATTTAGCTACCCGCATATTAAAAATGATCAGACAGGGTGGTCCTAGAAATAACACGCCAGAGTGACACGGGAGGTAGACTGGCTTCAGATCAATCAGATAAAATCAACATGACCTTAGTAACAGTTTTCTAGTTTCCCAGATATTGCCACTTTGAGGTTTTTTTTAAAAAATCATTACTAACTACTACTAATTTGGTTTCAATGCGAAAGCCTTTACAAAAGTTTGAATAATTACTGTGAAAAAAATGTACCAGACTGAATCGGCAAATAATCGTAAAAACTAGCATATTTAATGTTCTTTTAAAAATAGTACAACCTTTGTAGGTTGTTTCTACTAAAAATTGAATAATTCCAAGTTTTGTCATTGAAGTAATACTTGGGAAATACTACAAATAAAAAATAAGTGCAGCAGTATTTTGTATCTGCATCACTAAGGAATGAAACGACCTAAACAGCAGAAGAGCTAAATAACACATGTGTAGCACTAACACAAGGAGCAGTAAGTACTAAATTAAACCTGCGCATGCGGTGCGCAGGTACCACCTCTGTTTTTCGAGGTGACATAATGCTACAGATCGAACAATGAATGTGAGAGCGAGATAGTCAATGACATGTTCAGGTCGTTTCATTACTTAGTAATTTGGATACAAAAGACAGCTGGATTTATTTTTTATTTGTAGTATTTCGCAAGTATTACGACTTCAATGACTTTAGTAGAAAGAACCTACAAATGTTATACTATTTTTGAAAGGGCATTTTTTTCACAGTAATTAGTGAAACTTTAGTAAAGATTTTCACATTGAAACAAAATGTATTATTTTTTTTCAATGAAATGAATACTCGGTTATCTCAACCAACTATTAGTGGTAGCTCAGGAAGAAAAATTGCAAGTTTGAAGTTTTTTATAACAGTCAAAAAGGGAGGAAAAAGTTGTCATTTTTTGAAAAAGCGTAAATGTGGCAGTATTTGGAAAACTAGAAAACTTTTACTAAGGTCATGTTGATTATATCTGATTGTTCTGAAGCCAATCTACCTCCCGTATCACTCTGGTGTGTTATTTTTAGGACATCCTGTATATGATAATATTGCATGTGAAAATGACCAGAGTTTGACCAATATCAATGATGGTTTAAAAATCCAAATGAACTTTTAGTGAAGCTTATGATCAAATCATTTGAGCCACAATATACAGGGTTTGTCCTGAAAGTAATTTTCTTCCGCCATGACTGTACTTCGGAGCGTGCGCGAACCGACTGGATTCGGTAGAGGGCGTTCCTAGCTAACGAATGAGCGGCTGGTCAGTTGTCTCCAAGCACTTGGAGAGTGAGGACAGGCATTTTCGCGCGACGTGTTTCTGTGAGTGGTGCAAGCCGAAAATGCAGCGTTCGTTAGAGCAGAGGTACGCGATTGAATTCTGTGTAAAACTCGGTAAATCTGCGACAGAGACGTTTGATATTATCAAGCAGGCTTACCCAGGTGTTGCTTTAGCAAGAAGTGGTGTGTTTCGGTGGCACCAGGCCTTTTTGGAGGGCCGGAAAGATGAAGACCGTGCTGGAAGACCTTCGACTTCGACAAACACCGATAATGTGACTCGTGTGCGCAAAGTTTTGAACACAGACCGTCGACTAAGTATTCGTTTAATTGCCCAGATGTTAAATTTACCAAAATCTGTGGTTCATGACATTGTGACACAACATTTGAACATGCGCAAGGTGTGCGCGAAGATGGTCCCAAAAGTGCTCACTGACGACCAGAAATTGCGGCGAGTGGAAGTGTGCCAAGAAAATTTGAACATGTGTGAAAGTGACCCCCAATTTTTGAATAACGTAATCACAGGTGACGAGTCGTGGATCTTTGAGATGATCCCGAGACAAAGAGGCAATCTTCCGAGTGGCACGCGACGGCGCCTCCTCGCCCAAAAAAGGGAAGAATGAGCAAATCTAAAGTGAAAACGATGCTCATTGTCTTTTTTGACATCAAAGGCATCGTCCACCATGAATTTGTTCCTCATTGGACAAACCGTCAACGCCAAGTTTTACGTGGAAGTGCTCAGGAGACTCAACCGAAGGGTCAGTCGGGTCCGACAAGACATCGCAGCCGACTGGAAGTTGCACCACGACAACGCCCCGGCTCACACCGCCTTTCTTGTGAACAGCTACCTGACCAAGGCCGGCATCCCAACGCTTCCGCAGCCGCCCTACAGCCCAGATGTGACCCCCCGGACTTTTTTTTGTTTCCTCGCCTGAAAAGGCCGATGGAAGGCAAGCATTTTGAGACGACAGAGACAGAAAATGCCTTCCGTGACGTCTTCAATGCTTGGAAATCGCGCTGGCCGCGCTGCATCGACGCAGAAGGAGCCTATTTTGAAAGTTTTTAAAGAATTGTAACGATTGGCTCAATAATTTTTTTTAAATCGACTCAGTTCTATTACTTTCCGGACAAACCCTGTATGTTCTAGAAGGTATATTTAATTTGATGCCATACGTGACTTTGTATGACTTTATAAAAACATTTTGAGCCACTTGGAATGGAATGGCCAAGATATGATTCAATTTAAAAAACTAGTAAATAAAATACGTACTTTATGCATTATTTTTAAGAAGTTTTTTGTTCAATGTATAAAAATATAGATATTGTGCAGTTCTAAGCCATTCAAGTATACTATAAATGAGCATTTACAATAAAAAATCATCATCATTATGATTCACAAAATTGGAATGTCAGCAAAGCTAATGTATCAGAAAAAACCCAGTATAAGTCTTCGCATTCGTTCATTTACAAAAGCATATGGAAGTCAATGAGACGAAATAAGTATAGACGTTTTAATATTAGATACAAAAGCCTTAACGATACCGCCCTTTTTTAACTATAACTTTTTGCATTAGCACACACTTAGGCAAGAAACAATAAGATATTTCTGTAATTTTTATAAACTATGAGAACATACTTCGAATCTAGGTCATCATGTAAGGTATCCAATTTCCATTGTTACTCCGATATCCGCGCTTGAAATATAAGAATCCACTATATCTAAAAACCGTCCATTAAAATGATACAACTTTTCTAACTACGACTCCACCTTGAGCTCCAACATCTCAAAGTATAGACAATATCCTAGATCAATCATATCCCTATAAAACCTAAATATAAAACACTGCAAAAATACAGAAATACGAAACTTTATTTTGCAACTATATTTTTAGCACCTGTCATAAAAGCTGTCAGACTTGAACTCTCATCTGATACACCAGGTTTGCGACAAATTCTTTATAAAAAACGTCTCTTGACTATGGTAGATAAGACAACTACAGAATGCATGACAGAAAATCAGAAAATCTGAAACAGTAGTTTCCGTAGTGATTCCTTGATATCAAAATAGCGGTGAAATCACCATATACGTCACCTGTTCAGTCTTTTTCACACACATGTTAGGCGATGAAAAATAAATTCTCCTACCGATCTTACTTGGCATTGTGTCACAACTTTCAGTTTCAATACTGTATTATGAACAAAAAGTTTCTACAAACAATATTAAAGCAAAAATAGAACTAATAGAAATGTAGCAATTAGCTCATATGAGATTTGTTACTAAATATTATTGAAAACTGTTTTGCATAATGAATGCTTCTAAAGGCTGACACAAATACTCATGAAAATCGTACGTTTTAGTTGTTGTCATGTGTGTAGTACCAAATCTTTCGTTTGTGTTGTCGTCAATCACTTGGCATAGGTAAAAGTTTTTCGCGGGTACCAACTTGATTGGGGAAAAGACTATGTCTGTATCTTTGTCAACCACAAGATGTCATATACCACAAATGCTACATTTTGCATGAATCCCAAATCGAACCAAACTTATTCAGTGCTTTTTAGAAGGGTTTCCCTTGCTTATTTTTTGTACCGGTCTGAAATTTGAGATGATGAAATTGATGCATAGTTAGGGTGACCAAGTAGGACAGTACTTCCTTTTGGAAATCTGTACTGTCCTTCAAAAGTTTATCAAGTACACCTAAATGTGCTTTTATCAATAAAAACTATGTCCTACTTTTTGCTTGATGAAACGAAATAACTATAACTGTTTTTGTGTTTTTGATGTATTGCGTAAAGGAAAATTAACTTTTAAATCTTTACGTACGTATTTCTTGTTATCTTTTGTTATACTGCTGCATCTGTATTGTAAAACATAAATACCTTTATTTTGTTTGATTGAAAATGTGTTAGAATTAGACAAAAAAACTGCTTTAAGTATCAGTGGTGATTTTCCTTAAAAGTGTACTTTTTTTAAATTATGGTGCCCCTATGCATAGTACTATATTTTAACGTAAAAATACCAGTTTATACAACCCCACATTCTATTTAAAAAAAAATGCTCCAAACTGGCACTACCCAGCTGACACCTTGAATTTTTCAACTTACTTTTACGTTAAAATATAGTGTATACATCAATCGAACACCGAATCTCAACTTACAAACTTGACCCGTTTAAAAAATAGGGGGAGGGGCTTTTTGGAAACCAATAAGGATTTTTTCAGTCCACGGTGTAACACAGTGTAGTACCGGGAACTGATACCGAAATTTTCGCGAAGAACGGGAATAGGGGAAGACGGATGTGACGTCATCCAAATGTAAAAAAATCACGTGGTACGGTTAACCGCCTACTGTAGGCGAGGTACTGGCGGGTGACAGACCTTATGTCAATGTCATTTAAAAAACCAACATCTCAAATAAAAATTTGTCTTCGCAGTGCCGAAAATGAGTTGAATTATTAAATCATAAATCAAGAAAATGGAGGAAAGGGTTCACCTGATTTTAAATGACGAGGCAGAAGACTATGAGGCCATTGTAGATATAGGAACCGCACATGTCATATCAAACGGTAGATTTTATTGGTATATACACTGCATAAAAAACGATCGGTCTTTTTATTTCCACTGCCGGTGTAACTTGAAACTGCCAAAATATTGATAGGTGGGGGAAATTTCAGCTGTCCCCCGCACCATTAACTACGGGATCTTGCGAAAAAATCTTCAATGTATGTGAATCATGTATATGTGACGTCAAAACTGGAACTAAAGCAGGGTTACCAGGTGTGGTGATTTTTTACCAATTCGGTGAAAATTTTCCTAAAATGCCACATTTCTGGTCATTTTTTCGTTATTGAAAACAAACATACAGAAAACATGCAACAACTCAATATGAATAAATTAAAATATTGCTTAAAACAGTCAAAACTAATTGTATATAGTATCATGTACTTAGTGCGGCACTGCCGCTGGTTCGGGCACTGCATTGTATGCTTCCGTGGCTGTGTTCCGTTTTTATTTCCGTTTCCATTTCTGGACACAACAAAAATTGGAAGGACAATCTGCCCGTTTTGCGCTTTCTGTAGCTATATTTGTTTATTTCATCAAATACCTGTCCGTCTCTTAACTAACGTTATTATCTTAGAGGAATTCGTAATATTTATATTTTGTTGTTTTCATTTTAATAGTAACCAAACTATTTGTTTGTCTTTTAAATGTTTTGCTCAGTATCGATTACTTATTCGCACCAAAGTATAATTCCGAAAGTTAATTTTAACTAAAAAAAAAAATGTTCTTAACTTTTCAACTGACAGCAGCAGCACCTAACCCTAGCTACGCCTCTGTCTCATAATAAAGTTTATTGGAGATCTGCTAATTTTTTCCAAATCAAACAACTAGTTCTGGTGAGAAATACATGTTCACCTAGCAACCCTAAACTAAAGGTGAGTTCTTATAAAGCGCTAGCCCAGCAGTATCCCAATACTCGCGTAAAAGACGCCCGTTTCGTCGACGCGTTCAATCTGACCTTACCCTTATTTCCAATTTTTGACGCCACATGCATGCGATCTTTTGATAATGCTCGAGATATATTGATTTTTTTGTGACACCAGAAAATTCTTCGTTTAACATTGTATGACTAGATTCAGTTCTTTCATTTCACTGTAATGCATTCTGCAATTGTTTTGAGAGAAAACAGTACCTAAACAAAAAAATAGAGAAATCAACTCGTCAATATCAAGTTTTTTTTCATATTGTAAAATCATTTCTGTAATATTTTGAAGGACAATAAAAAAAACAGCTTGTAAGAGACAATTGGTCTCAAAGTTACTCCATGTCAAGTTTCTTCTAACCTCATAAACTGTCAACGTATGTTGGTTTCTTTTGACGCTGGAAAAACTTGAGACGTGCTGTAGTAATTCTAAGCATCGAGTCAAAATGTATTATTTTTATTTATGGGATAATCCAGACAATTCGTAATTTTGAACTTAAAATAGAAAAAAACTTGAGACGAACTTTTCGCTGGGTATGAAAAGTAATGTGAAAATCGGTCAGAAATTAACTCCAGTTTCCAGAAAGCGTCTTTATTTTTCGTTTAGGTGGTGTTTTCTTTTGACAAATAGTAATAACAGTCGTCTTTGCGATTCACAATGGGCACAAACTGATTATTCGTCCGTCTGTCATATTGCAACTACCACGCCACAAGTTTGCTTCAAAAGGACAATAGCGGACCGGATATCCGCGCCTCGTCCATTCAATACAACTGAAAAAAAAGAAAATGTATAAAAATGCTAATATAACACATGAATCTTATTCTATAGTTTTGACGCCTTTGATGATTTGTCCGGTCGCTAAATAAAACCATATGTAGAAGTAAACATGATGCTTTTATTGGTCCGACCAAAAAGACAGCCAACCATGAACTGCTGTCTAGTGCTTTTTGGCTACTCATCAGCATGGTCTAGGTCTCTGCACAAACGAATGAAAACCTCGCAGTATCCTCTATAGCAGAGGTACGTTCTATAGTAATAATACAACGCAAAGCGCCATTTATAACACCAGAATCGACCACTGCCGAAACCGCATTGAATTACTGTTTACTACCACGACGTTTCGGCCACCACGGTGCAAATGACAACTCTAATGACAATATATTTTGTTTATATGTCTTCTAGCTGGCAGTTCATTTGTGTTTATTTCATACGCACCGAAGTCCAATGTTTTAAGATTTTGAAAATAATTATTGAGACAGTAATTATGGGCTTCTATTCTCATGCATCCTACTTCGAAGGACGCCTATTTTTGGACATGGTCTTTCTGTTTTTCTTCCAGTTTTTTTTGCCCCTTCTACTAACTACAAAGAAACCTAATTTTTGCCTTCCTGAAAATGAGAAAAAACTGAGAGGTCATGACCAAAAAAGGTATCCTTCGGAGAGGGGAGGCCAATTAGAACCGACTGAAAATACAACTCCAAGCATGTAGGATGACTGCAACAGACTCGTTGCACAAATTTCAATTATATTCTCACTGACGTAACTCAAAAGCTATCTATTGTATTAAAAACTATGGGGGAAAAACTGGGGGGGTTTATGGGGAAAATATTAAACATTCAAAATACTCGCCAGGCGCAGTAACCTAATATGACTTGACGCACTAATAGTGATGTTATTTACGCTCACGTGAGTAGTTCCAGTCAGCTCAGTTTAGATGCTATACCTGAGCGTTTTCGATAGCTCTTATTTATATCTATATATTTTTAAAAAAATGGAAATTAATTAATATTTTCAGAACCGCTTCAGATATTTCACTGATATTTAGTACGTAGTGAAAGTTAATAAAGTTGCATATTTTTCAATGCAAAAATAATTTTTAGCTTTAACAGTGGCGTGCGTACGGGTATTGACTTCGATATTTTTCAACAAAAAAATGGTACGCCAATGGTTTTTTGCCAAAAAAAAATTATTTTTGAATTCCCCGTTCAATTTAAAACAAATGAAAACCGTTCTATTGTCTAACTAAAAATTATTATTATTTTAATTGAAAAAATTAAACACATTAGGGGTAATGAACGACAACAACTGACAACATAAACATAACATTAAAACCAACGAAATGATTACAAAAATTGTTGAAAATGGCCTCCTTCACTTAGTATGCATGCTTCCGCCCTCCTTCTCATGGAACTGCGCACTCGTTGAAATATCCGTGGACTGTTTTTTATTCTATCGCAAGCTGCAACTATTCTTTCTCTTAATTCCTCTACAGTGTTAATGAGACTTGTGTACACTAGTGTCTTAAGATAGAGTCACAAAAAGAAATCTAAACTGTTGAGGCCTGGGAACCTTGGTGGTTATTCTTGGGGCCCACCGCGGCCAAGTCAACGATTTGGATGAACAGTTTGTAAATAATTACGAACCGCTACACTGAAATGCGCTGGTGCACCATCATGCATGTACCACATATTGTTTCTTATTACTTACAAAGGCAACTGTTGTTGAAGAAAATTGAGTTAAGTCTGTCCGTCAAGTTGTCCCGGCAAGAGGAATGGGCCAATAAAGTGGATGCCAATAATTCCTGCCCATACGTTAACCGAAAATTGGTGTTAGAAATAGGTTTCGGTTACGGCATAGGGATTTTATTCTGCCCACAAATGATTATTGTGGAAATTCTGAATGGCATTTCGAGAAAAATTAGCTTCGTCCGTGAACAGAATCATTGATTCAAATTGCTGATTTTGTGTAATTTTTTGAAGATAATCACTGACAAAAGGTCACACGCCTTGGAAAATCAATGGGAAGTAATGCCTATACTCTTAAAATATGGTAAGGATATAACAAAAAATCCACTTAAATTCTCCAAACAATTTGATGGCAAATATTTAAGTGTCTAACGATCTTCCTCGTACTCGTTTCAGGATGTTCTTCGACTTCGTGTAGCACTGCTTCCTCAATTTCAGGTGTTCTCACACTTAGAGGTCTACCTTCAGATGTTCCTTTTCGGACAGACCCAGTTTCAACAAGACGACGATGAATATTAGAAAAGGCTCGACTATCTGGCAAAGCACGATCGGGATATCTCTGGTGATAAATCCGTCCGGCTTGCTTACCATTACGGTCGGCAAGGCCATATTACGTAATGCATTTCCGCCATTTCTGCATTTGAATAATTCACCATTATTAACAAGATTGTAGAGGCTAAATAATGAAAAAGATGTCACAGCGAACAGATTTGAATAACAGAGACTTGTCAGATGTCAAAAGCCAGTGACATATACCAGAGCAACTAGATATTTATTGCTAAATTGCATTCTTCAATTATTACATTAATTTTCTCGGACAATAGAACGGTTTTTATTTTTTTACTCAAAAATGGCGCATCGAAGGAGAGCAATTCAAGGGAGATCATTTGTTTTAAATTGAACGGGGATTTCAAAAATAATTTTTATTTGGCAAAAAAACATTGGCGTACCATTTTTTTCTTAAAAAATATCGAAGCCAATACCCGTACGCACGCCACTGTTAAAGCTAAAAATTATTTTTTCATTGAAAAATATGCAACTTTATTAACTTTCACTACGTACTGAATATCAGTGGAATATGTGAAGCAGTTCTGAAAATCTTAATTAAATTCCATTTTTTTCCTAAAACTTCAACACTCCGGGTTTTTGTAAGGAAACAGTTTTGGACCATAGTTTATAAAGCAAACTAACATCAGTTTTTCATATAGATTCACACCCTTAAATATTCGCATATCATTAAGGAACACCCTGTATACATTTGAGTAAATATTCCGTGAACATAGAGGTACCACAAACTCAAAACAAGTCGATTGGACATAATTTACCTATATGCAAAAGCGTTTCGTTTGTCCGTTACAGTGCGTCAAAGTTTCCCGATTTAAATGAAAATTCCAACACATGTTTTGCTAGATGTTCTAATATTTTAATATTACGAGAAACACCAAAGGGTTCAAGAATGATGAAAACTACTCCTACGTATACATAAATTATAGCAGAAGTTTCGACAACTCTGTTTTTTTTTTATTTAGCACATCTTTTTATTTACTTCGCCTCAGATAGTTTTCTAAAAAAAAAAAAAAATGAGTTGCATCAAGAGGTTCCCAAGCGTCTTATTAATTCTACGGGATAGTTTCTACGCTTCTCGAACCCTTTATAGTTTTTCGTAAAAGTCAAATGTTAGAACGTCTAGCAAAACCCATTTGTTGCAAATTTTATTCAAATCGTACTATCGGTTCCAAAAATATCTGCAAAAATTTTATTCAAAAAGAATACTTTGATCAGTCGACTTATTTTTAGTATAAAAAAACAGGTGCTTTTATGTCCTTGGAATACACCCAAGTTTGTCTTATTTGCGCATTTATGTCTCAGTTTGAACACTTGGACAAATTATTTAAACTTGTGGATTGTGGAAAAGGCCAAAAGGTAGCAAAAAGTTTAAGCAACATGATTAGTAAAATGGGTAAAACCCCCAGGCTAAGAAAGAGCTAAAAACAATAAAAGCAGTAAAAATACTGTCGTATTACTTTTATAATAAAACATTTTTATTGACGTCATAACACAGTATTATAACAGTTAAGAAGCTTAATGTGAAGTAGGAAATACATGACAAAGGTGGTGAGGTTGCCAATGGTTAGTGCTTCGTGACTATTATACTCGTCATTAACCTTGTTATATTTTACTTTTTTGTTGATAAGTATTTAGCGCAGCTATTAAAGTATTAATTATCGGTTTTAATATCCATGCCTACTGGCGACGTTTCCGAGGATCCTGAACATCTTTTAAAACAATTTTGGATGTAAAAAAGGCGGAGGGGGGGGTTGCGGGGGGATGGGTAAGGTTTACCTCAATGTTTTTGATGTTGGTACATTTATACGCTCCCAACATACTACGCACCCATTAGACATATTTCACACATTCCTGTACAGGGTGGTGGGGGGTATTCAAATGTTTTCGTAAGAACACCCTGTATCTTCGAAACGGCTCAGTCGATTTCTACAAACTTGAACTAGTTGAATACAGTTATTCTTGGGCTACAAATGTTATAATATTTGAAGTTTTGTTAGTTTCACATGTGGCCGCTAGAGGGCTTTTTTGACATTCCGTCAGAAATAGTTGATTTTCTCAAAAAAAAAAATGCATTGGCAAGATTTTTCTTTACGAAAGTAGCTGAATGATGTCTAAGCAAGCTCGCGAAAACCGCATCTCGATATCTTATTCCTAACCTAAAATTTAGGCCAAAGAAAATTTTATATAATGGGTGTTTTTTTTTAGTGGTATAGAACTTTAAATTGCAATAAAACAACGATGGATTATTCGATTGACATGACTTTTTTTTTATTCGAAAGATAATCTTGTGGCATTACATTTTAAATATGATTTCTGGCATATGACTGGCTCGGATGTAGTCCAATCTGGACGTCCAATTTTCGATGACTTCTTCCAACATTTGTGACCGTATATCGGCAAGAACATGGCGAATGTTGTCTTCCAAATGGTCAAGCGTTTGTGGCTTATCCGCATAGACCAATGACTTTACATAGCACCACAGAAAATAGTCTAGCGGTGTTAAATCACAAGACCTTGGAGGAAAATTCAAAGGTCCAAAACGTGAAATTAGGCGGCCACCAAACGTGTCTTTCAATAAATCGATTTTAGCACGAGCTGTGTGACATGTTGCGCCGTCTTGTTGGAACCACAGCTCCTGGACATCATGATTGTTCAATTCAGGAATGAAAAAGTTAGTAATCATGGCTCTATACCGATCACCATTGACTGTAACGTTATGGCCATCATCGTTTTTGAATAAGTACGGACCAATGATTCCACCAGCCCATAAAGCGCACCAAACAGTCAGTTTTTCTGGATGTAACGATGTTTCGACATAGACTTGACGATTAGCTTCACTCCAAATGCGGCAGTTTTGTTTGTTGACGTAGCCATTCAACCAGAAGTGCGCTTCATCGCTCAACAAAATTCGCTTATGAAAATCGGGAACAACGGCAATCTCGTTTTGGGCCCATTCAACGAATCTACGCCTTGCTTGATGATCGTTTGGCTTCAATTCTTGCGCGAGTTGGATTTGGTAAGCACGCAAACCAAGATCCTTCCGCAAAATCTTCCATAAAGTGGATGAACACAGATCCAATTCCTGTTCTCGATGGCGATGGACTCATTCGAGTATTCCTCAATGCTACGCTCTACAGTAGCAATAGCTTCTTCTGTACGCACCGTACGGCGTCTCTGGGGATGCGAGGTATCAATTAGAGTAAACGTGGTGCGAAAACGTTCCATGGTTAATCGAATTAACTGCTCTGATGGACGATTTTGTCGACGATGAAATTGATGTAGTGCGCGATACGTATTTCGAAATAAAACTGCACAATTTGCAAGCCTTGTTCAGGCGTGAGTCTTTTCATGATGAATTGCCAAACCAAACTGAGAATAAATCACTTGACAGCTATCAAATTGGTCGCCATCTTCAAAAGTAATGCCAACTTAAAGTTCTGTACATCGAAAAAAAACACCCGTTACAATTTTATCCCTTGAACTTTTATTTTTTAAGCAAAGTTTTCTGGAATTCTTTTCTTTTGGATTCTGGTAAATACTGTTCAAACCTCTCTCTTCTACCTGCAACCCATACGAGTAAATGACGCCATAAAAAGTATATAAATGTCTTCCGTCACCTGTGGCCTACCGTCTCGGAGTATAACCACGGCCTAAGAGAGAATTTCAGGAACATTTACATATGAACTTTCTGTCACTGTTTTTCGAATCATCCCATAGTTCTTAGCCACTTTTTGACTTCAACTACCCTGGCAATCTCATAACCTCTATATCAACATATAATATTATTCAAATTTCTAATATGACCTTGTTCAACTTTTTCTCTATTCAGTCACTCTGGTATTTGGAAGATAATGCGGCTAATAAAACCTATTTAAAAATACGCTTTTCGTTAAGAAATTATGACGTCATCGGAGATGATGTCGCCTTTCTGAACACATTCATGCGAGATGAATCAAAACACAAGCACGCGTGTCGTGTAACCCATGGTAAAATAAATAATAAATTACAGTTAGGTCTCAAATAAAGAACGATTATATCGACGCTCATTGTCACTGTGAAACTTTCGTAAATTGTGAAATTTTTTCTTGGTGATGCCTCATGGAATAGATAGATGCATTGTTCGGTATTCTAAAATTAAGCAGATGCAACGGAACGCCCAGACACGATATACGAGGGTAACACGTAAAGTTGACGCTTTTATTATTACTGTACAATAGTGTGAGACAGGATGATCGGGGCGTGATATAAATAGAATAGTCTCAAGAAGTATTATCTATATATCTTCAAAACTACTGAACTGAATTACATTAATTTTATATCATTATAAAGGGAATTGAAAGACCTTTAAAATAAGGTATCACTCGACCCCCCTTTCTATTTGAGATTTTGGGGGTGGTGTCACCCCCACTTAGGGGGCTGCACGTGTTAACGTGATTTTTTGCCAAACTTGTGTCCCCCTCGAAAACAAAATCGACGGGTCTGAGCGTTTTTCCAAAAAAAAAACTGAGCTGCCAGTAAATGCGTCTGTTTCGTTTTCGATGCGCCACCCTGTATAAAAATCTGTGATACTTGTAGTCATATGTTTTATAGAGTCATCGTCTATGATACTACCTATTTAAAATGACAATTTTCATCGGGATTTCCATGAAATTACGTGGGACTAGCAGTTCCTAATCTCAAGTTGGATCATAAGGGTCGGTAATTGCTTGACACAGCTATTCTGGCTTCAGACAGCTTTATCATCCACCCTTAAGTACAGATAAGGTTTCCTCGTATTATTTCGTGACCTAAAAAATGTTGCGTGGGTTGTGTAGCGACTCCAAAGGATTGGCTCCTTATACAGGCATTGTATTTTTATCAGAAATTATGTTGAAAAAAATTGTGGTTGCTTAGAAAAACGTATTTTTGTACCTTTGAACACTAAGCACTTTTTTCTTTCCTCATCATAAGGGACGAAAGTATTGTGGTGGCAGAATTATTCGACATTCTTTTATGTTTTTGGATGTTTTTATGTCATTTTGAATTGTCACGGGGGTGGCCGAAAAGTTTAGTGAACACTCGTACGTCAGTGGTTTCATTTGAAGTCCAGCAGAGATGTTACATATGCTTTTTGATGTCAACATGAAAAAATCAATCTCACTTAACTGTCTGCTAACATTTTGATAGACAATTTATTCATATGTAAGCCTGCAATATTTTATATATATATATATATATATATATATATATAAAATATCACCACTAATATCACCCAACTTCGGATTTGTCAATATCTGAAATTCGCATTTCTGTCCTCGTTTCATCCCCCGTGGCATTTTCATTGATGATACACTGGACTCTCTATTCCAGACATTGATAGTATTCGAATACTCAGCATATTGAATCATATTCAGAATGAATTTAGCAGGTATTTGAATGCTATTCAAATATATTTGTAGTTGGTGTTTGGTATTCGACTGAATACTTTAATAGTCAGCGCTCAGTATTCTGAATCCCAATACTTGAATACCCACATTGTACACAGATCCCAGGAATTCTAATCCTATATTGGAATCCTGTTTTCGAATTTTGTTTACCTATTCTTGTGGATATTGTACTACGCGATGCTGACAGGTTGCTTAAGATTAGATTATGTCATGCACTTGTACTTGCGCAGTATTGCCATTCTGTTTTATAATAAAATGTAAATATTTTGTTATTAAGTTTTATTCTATTAATTTTCTATAAAAATCTAATAAAAATCAATGAATGTTTTTTATGTACAATTAATTTGTCTTACCTCACTGTCACACTGTCTATCAAAATGTTTGTTATGTTACGCTATTTTATTTAATATAGTGTTGTATTTTCATTTTTTTATATTTTTATAACTGAAGCATAAAAATAAAAATCAAGTTTAAAGTGTGCATATGTTGTGTTTAGTTGGAACATTCAAAAAGTACTTATGAATCAGGGTATTCAAAACAGCAATATTGGAATACATCTTTCCTTTGTACCCAAATCTCAAGTATTGAAATACATTTTAAAATATTGTATTCTAACTACAGTGGATCCCCGATAATCCGGCCCCTGTCTAATCCGGCATGTCTTTGAAGATTACATACATACGTATTTGACAGTCTTTGCTAATGTAGATCACGCAGGTTTGAACAGGTTACAAATTGTACGCGCCACCGCTATCGTGCTCGACGCGTAAGCATTGTTTTACTTAGTTTGAATTTGACTACTTGTGATGGCGGTACGGTCTAGCGTGCGTTCATTGTTTACTATTTATTCATTGTGTATTAAGTATAGTACCTAGTAATGTCATCACAAACTCAGAAGCACAAAACATTGACAATTAAAGAAAAATGTGATATTTTAGACCGCTTAAATCGCAATGTAACTTTCAGTAGTTTGGCAAGTGAATACGGCATAGGCCGATCTACAATTTATGCCATTAAAAGAAACCACGAGAAGATCAAGAAGTTCGTGTCAACTACTGACTGAGGGCCAGGCAAGAGACAGACACTCAAGAAAGCTGAACATCCAGAAGTGGAAGAAGCTTTCTTTGTACATGTGCTTTCTTTAGGAAAAAAATAGGCATGCACCAATTTCAGAACCCATGTTGGCTATGAAAGCTAAGTCTTTTTATAAGGAAATAACAAAAAATGATTATTTTGTGGCCAGCAAAGGATGGCTAGAACGTTTTAAAAGTCGTCATGGCATACGTTTAATGACTATTACAGGAGAGAAACTTTCTAACGATGCCATCTGCATAGAGCCCTTTAAATTAAGATTTTTGCAAAAGGTGAACGATTTAAATCTTGACCCGTCACAGGTGTACAATGCAGACGAATCAGGGCTTTTTTGGCGTGTGATGCCTAACAAAACTTTCGTATCTTGTAACGCAAAATCCGTACCTGGACGAAAAGTAAGTAAAGAGCGTGTAACCATACTACCATGTGCTAACGCTGCGGGCACGCACGCGCTTAAGATGATGGTCATTGGGAAATCTAATAAACCACGGGCATTCAAAAACATTGATTTACCTGTACACTATTACGGACAAAAAAGTGCATGGATGACAAAAGACCTTTTCAAAAAGTGTTTTGATGAATGCTTCGTACCTGAAGTTAGAAAATGGTTAAAAGATCATAATTTTCCTCAAAAAGCGTTGTTGCTTCTTGATAACGCTCCTGATCATCCGTCTGAAGAAGAACTAACAACTGAGGATAAATCCATCACTGCGATGTTTCTTCCGCCAAATTGCACTGCACTGATTCAACCAATGAACCAGAATATCATTCAGTTTATCAAGCAAGACTATAAGAAAAACCTACTTCTGAGAGCCGTATCAAAAGACCAACCAATAGAAAAAACTTTAAAAGAATTTAATATGAATGACTTGGTTTTTGCTCTTTGTCAGTCGTGGATTGCGTTACCGTCATCAACTATTAAATCGTCTTGGAAAAAGTTATGGCCAGATATAGTCACCACTCCTAGCAACGTTCCACAAATCAGTGTAACTTCGGAAGTTATAGAACAAGTCGCTACTGAAACACAGATAAGTCCGGAAGATTTGGAAATCTGGTGCTGTGGAATGGATACAGAGGAAAATGTTTTTCATGAAAAGTCTGACGAAGAGACTATAAAAGAGGTTTCTAATTATACAACAAACAATCAGGAAAATAACGACGACGTGATTCCAACTGCTCCACAAGTCACAGCACAAGACGCAATTAACGCCTTTGAGCTAGGTTTACAATGGGCTGAAGAGAGTGGTACATCCTACAATGAACTTTTACTTTTGAGAAGGGACAACGCTCTGATCTAGCGTTATAGCAACCTTAAACAAAAAAAATTGATGAATATTTCCAAGCTTCATAATTTGATAAATTCATTAATGATTTTGATTAATAATTCTTGATTATTTTAGTACATATATGTATTTGCATTTATGCTTGATTTTATAATAAAATGTAAGCTCTCTATTGTTATTTAATTTACTAAATGCGACATACATAAACTATGTATGATTTGTACTTCAAAGTACATACATATACATAACATATATAATCTTACCATTGTATATGTAATTTGACGGATTACAAGGTAGTCTTTTGTAAAAAATTCCGGACTATAGGGGGTCTTGCATAATGTTTGTCGGATTACCGGAGGTCTACTGTATTCCTATCCAATCTGACATTTTCGAATAATGATATAAATGAAAATTTTGAAAAGGCGCCAACAATGCACAATAAGTACTGACTGAGACAGTACGACTGCAACACTTTTTTATAAAATGGGAGCTCATATTTCTCAGACTTGCACTCTAATTTCGATTTCGACTCGGCGACTTGACACGTGTTTAGTAACAGGGATGCACATGACTCAAGCAAATGTCTATAACCATAAAACTATATAACATATAACCATTGAAGTGTTGTGTGCATTATTATCCCTAAAAAATTGTTATTGACTACTTTCGTGAGTAGTAAATTTAGAATGAACTTTGTGAATATAACAGTTGACAGGAATATAACAGAAATTCATACTTTAACCCAACAAAACGCAGACAGAGATTAGAAAAAAAGGTGTGACAGAATCTTCTGCATATTCAGACATAAAAAAACATCACAGGTATCAATGTGACAGTATTATGTCGAATGTTGTGTTGATCGAATATTGGGAAAGCCCAATATTGATAAATACCACAAAAAGATAACATATGAATTGGAAACTATCAGACTCCAGTAATTATACATTGTGTGACAGAAATATTAATCATTTTTATATTCTACTCTCCAGTCTACTGTACATAAAAATGAGCAATTATTATATGACCTCGAATGGCTATCACAATATTCCAAATAAGCTAAAAATAAAATTACCACTGATTCATTCACTGCGGCAATATCAACAATTGAGAAAACTATTCTCATTTTTTAGTAAATATTCAATGGTATTTCAATTTGAGAAATCTTTGATGTAACTATATAAATAACAATAGTATTTTATCATGATTATTACACAGTCACACAGACAAACTTAAGATCAGGCTTAGGATTTAAATCTTGTCTCTTAGCTTGTTCCTAGTTTTAATAATACACTCAGAAAATGCAAAGCTTTTCATGGAACATATATTTTATATTGAGCTAATTATAAATAAACATTACAAACACTATTGGTTTAGAGGTTATATTTCACCCCTATACAAAAGCGATTTATTATTAGCAGCTCTTCATATATAATAACCAAGGGTCCTTTATGTCGTTTAAAAAATGACTGCTATTCTATATCATTCCATAGGAGAAAGTAGGATTAGATCCACATAAATAAGAATACAGCTAAAATTGACAAGATGGTAAATATACTTATCCTGTGATTGTCTTGCTAACGAATGTCTGAATTTCACTGGCTGCCAAATAAAACCACATAGCCTAGCACCACATCAGTGGCCAAAACATTAGTAAATGTTCAATTCTATGAACTGTCATAGCATATTACCCAACTACCTCAGTAGGGGGGTTATGGTTTTCACATATGGGTATGTATGTGGACAAAAAATTCTTTCATCAGCTACAGTCCAAATGGCTTGATGGATTTTGACACAAGATATTTTTTGTTGGATTCATCTTAGTAGTGCAAGTAACACTGGCTATAATAAAATTTTATGATGTAAAATAACGAATTTGAATTTAAGAATTTCAACTTTGAAACCTCCATTTCATTGCCTTCACCTCAAATGGCCATGGATCTTGACATTTGAGATCGCTCTAGATTTGTGTCTCAACAGTATGAAGGTATTTTAGAGAACCAAAATGGAAACTTCAGCTTTGAAATGTCTATTTCACAGGCTACAGTACAAATGGCCCAATAGATTTTGACATTTAAGGGGTTCTTAGATTCCTTCTGATAGACACACTCTTTTCAGTTTTTTTGTATTTTTCAAAAATATACCTGTTTAGAGAAAGATTAAGAAAAACAGTAATCTAAATACCAGGTTAGCTGCACAAAAAAATGTAAGACATTACCATTGATACAGTTAAACATGCATCTCGCATTGTAGACTGCCAATATGCATTTGGCTGTACATTTTGCTACAGATATTTTTTTGGTTTGTTTATGTTTGCACATTTCTAATTATTATTGTCACATGATATCTGGTGTTAACAGGCTTACAGACCAAATATCAACATGTTGGCTAACAAACTGTCAAATAGCATGTTCATCAAAATATGGAGGAAAACAGCAATTTGAAAATATTTTCAAGGAAGCTGCTTAAAAAAACTTGTGTATAACACTGCTATCGATAAAAGTGATACTTGCATCACGGGTTTTAGACTACCATGGGCATTTGACTGCAGAAATATGATTATGTATAAAATTTCAAGTGCACAGGATATTTGTACAATGTTTACAATAAAGCTTGCTATATATTAAGATTATTCATATTCATATATCAGAGAATTCCTATGGCTATAATATACTTTTCAGTTAGATATTTTGGAGGTTTATAATTATTGTCACATGATATTCAATGTCAATAAGCCTACAGTTCAAATATCAACAAGTTGGATAAACTGTCAAATAGCATGCCGTTTGCTTGTAGAATTGTGGAGGAAATTAGTAATTTAAAATCGAATACCTACCTTTGGATGCAGCATTTGACAGACGCCTGAATGTAATCCAAATCCATTTGAACACAAAACATAACAAATAACAAACTGCTGTAAGATGAATTTCGCGGTGACGTCATTATTTCATTGTTTGGATAGTTTTTCGCAACTGTACAGAAACAATACGCGGACAGAACAGAAACACAGTCTGGACCAAACTAGAGTACGGTACAACAACAGTAGCTTTTCTTTTCCTTTTCTGGACTAAAGTTCATTTCTCTGACGATTTCAGCAAATACTTCGTTAACGTTATGCCTATTTTTGGCGCTGGCCTCGATGAAAGGGCAACCCCACTGCTGCGACAGACTGAGTCCTTCTGCAGAGTCTACTTCTCTCTGGTGCTCCAAATCGACTTTGTTAGCGACTAGTAGGATAGGAACTCTTTCTGTTCCTTTGACTCGAGTGATGAGTTCTTTCATCGGGCGGATGTCTTGGAAGGTTTGGTGGTTTGTTAAACTGTACACGACGACGAACCCTTGACCATTCTTTATGTACAGGTCCCGCATGCTGGCGAATTGCTCGGTACCCGCCGTATCCAAGATTTCCAGGACACATGGAGAGTTGTCCACCTCGATCTCCTTGCGGTAGAAGTCCTCAATGGTCGGGTCATATTTTTCCATGAAGCACCCGGACACGAACTGCACAGTCAATGCACTTTTCCCAACCCCACCCGAACCGAGTACAACCACTTTGAATTCGCGCATTGTTCCGTCTTTTTCGATGTTGCACTTCGGATGTACACTAGCTAACACTATCGTTCCACGGTCACCATGGGCTGGCTATTGCTCCTCATTCTTACTTCTACCGCTGTGTAATCCATAACAGTAAACTACTTTGCATTTCGCCATCTTTGTGAACACTCTCATCTCATAATGTTTTCATAAACGTAAAGCCACGAGGGGCCAACTCGCTAAAGGGGTGGGGGGCACTGCTATGAGAACCAGCCATCATCTTCTGACTTGCGCATTCTGCCCAAATGTTTCCCATTTTCCGATTTACCTGACACCTAGCGTGGATTAACATGAAGTGTCACAGAAGGTCAACCACCCTTAGTTAGGAAGACGCGATATAGATGTCACTGCAAAGTTAGGCAATATGCTTGACAGCTTTCTCTTTCTGCACAGAACCGTATCTAGATGTAACTTTTATTACTACAATAATAATCAATAGTAATAGTTACCATTTCTAAAACTGAAATAAGGTTATAGGTTGGAAGAACGAGCCATCATGTTATGACTTGTCAATTTCATTCAAATGTTTAAAAAAATCAACAATTCGATATCTACAGGGTGCATAGACAGAAAGCTTTTCATCAGAAGATCAACCATTCTTAGCTGAGTAGTCGCTTGAATTGATTAAAATTCAGAATTTTTCTAACCACAAATTTCTTATTTGACTAACTAGCGTCATTAGTCATATCTACAAGGTGTCCAATAAGGACCACGACAAACCTCAGGAGAAGGTAGAAAGTATAACCTTATTTGTACATGCAGCTGCTCCCGAAGCGACTCGGTGTTTACGTTGACCGGTAGCAGACGCGCGGAGTGGGAGCTGGAAAGGGGCGTGGCTTTTCTACCTGGCCGCACCGTATCGCCGCAGCGAGGTACAGCACCCGCACGCTTCAGTCTCTCGGCAACCGTCGTCGCAGCGGAATGTCCACGCGTTCATCGCTCCGTGGAGAGCGGTTTAGCCATTTTTTTTCAGTAGTGGTGTTCACTATAGAGTTCTCGATTGTCTGTCAGTATTGCTTTGGTGTTTTAGTGTTGTGACGAGGCTGTTAAGTGTCTCCAAAGTGGAAATTAGGTCTACTTCCAACTCTTCTGAGGGAAACAGGATACATGTGCAGCATCTACTTGTGTGTTAGGGTTGACATTCTATGTTTTTCAAATAAATTGCGCACATTGCATACACTGAGAGATTAGTCATATACTGAAGTATTTGGAAAAAACTAAAATTTGGCCAAATCGTTTTTATTTTTGTCTGGCTTTATTTTAAGAAAAAACAAAAAACTATTGGCACTACTTGGACACTACATGATGGTGTTTTCAAATGTTGTGCCCGACGTGCACAACATTTAAAAAAAGGCCGACGCTGTATCTAATAGCATCTTTTTCTACGACTTCAACGATACAAATATAAACAAACGTGTTTCTTTCTATTGTTTCATTTTATATAAGTAGGAGTTGCAAACAAATGCTTGATGTAAGATTGTGTGATTACTGAATTTAACCTAGTCTGATCCTTATCTTGGCCACCTTGTGATACATTATTTTAAAAATAAATTTACAGAAACGTGCAGTAATCTAACGTTCTTGTAAGTATTCTTACGTACTTACATTCATTTATGGAAAATCTTAAAACTATTAGCAAAGCCTCGAACAAAAGACTATTTTAATCCAAGGAATTGGTTATAGTCAATAATTGACAGTGTTTCACATCGTGCTTTGACACTAAGCCCTTGGCACCATGTTTACTAAATATGGTGCAAAAAATCAAGCTTTGATTCTTTGGCGTTTTCAAACATGAAATCTCAGCTCCGTGCTTAGGAAACTACAATGTCTTACCCCGGTTGTTGTGGGCACCAAATGTCCAACAAGAGTAGAGATATATGATGCGTCCAAAATGCAGATTCCGTCTGCCTGTAATTCCACATGATCGGCGAGTTATAAGTTGGATTCAAGTTCAAATCCTTCAGCTGTCCACTTTTATCTTCCTCAAAATGAATGTCTAATATGGCTGCGTATAAGACGCGTACTAATAAATAGTAGAGTAAAATGAAAATCGTACTTCTCCTATTAATGATCATGTAATTTTTGATCAAACAGTTAATAAATATATTTATATAATAAAACATTGTTTTTTCCAATTGTTATCCAAAAAAACTGGGCATTTATGAAAGTAACAGCTTTTGTTTAGTATTTTGGCAAACATTGCTACGCCTCAAATTTCATATATCTCCATTGGTATCCCTCAATATTTTATTCAAAACTTTTTTTATATAACATTCTAGCAAAATTGTCCGACGAGCTGGCAACGCCGTAATCTAGGTTACAAGCTCAACTGCCAAAACGTATATCTATCCCGGGGTAGCGACAGAGTCATTTAGCCCGTCAAAGCGGCAGTTTTCCCATCTTCATTTGCGGTGTGCAACGATTTCGAGAAAAAGCTCGCTACGGATAGTCTTCTAGAGTCTAGTAGAGAATATTTCAATAGTTGTCTTGCGTGGCCATGTTATCTTTGCTCGGGCCGAACTTTGTGTTTATTATCTCACCAAATGCATTTAGGCCAGATAATTGATTTGTATTGATAAAACTGTTTTGTGGTCACGTGTAAAAACATTCCGCGGATAACCACTAATTTCATAGCAATAGGAATCCCACCAATCGCATAGAACTCAAGTTGGAGTTGATAAAACCTGATTTTTGACACAGTGTCGCCTCTGATAGTACTCTTAGTCTGTGGCACAGCGCACAGCTAGAGGTATACGCTTATATATGTCTGACTAGAGCGCCATCTATGAGACACTAACCTTTTGAGAGTGAATTTCTAATTAACGCGGAGAGAAGAAACATAGATATGACGAATTCTCACAGATGACGCTACGGTATCCTTTCATCTAGGATAATTTTTGAGACACGCGAATTTAGCATTAAGGTGGCTATCAATGCAGTTTTCCAACGTTATGCTGATTATTGCTCTACACACACACGTTCACACTATACGAGGAGCTATACTCAATATTACTTATTTTCACATTTTCTTAAATGTAAGGTTTAGTTGTCAAAATAACTTGGTGAAATTAACAGAATACTATTTTGATGAAGAAACATTATTGTCTACCTAGGTATTTTTATTTGTTCTCATTATTTACCGAGGAAGAGAAATTATACTTTTCAATAGGGCATTGCCGTCAATAATGGTGATTTATCCGGTTAGTGGTGACAAAAATAAGGACCAGCTTCACCAGATATGTCTTTTTGTCATGCGCCTGTTCCGTTGGCTCAGGAGTTCTGTGGCTTGACCCTAGCCGTAGAGCAGTACAAAGCCTTATGGAGTACCGCGGCCCATTTAGAGGCGTGTGGTTGATTACAAGTTTGGTGAAACTATAATCGTGTACTGCTTCATGTATGTTTAGCATGTTGTTTTTTGTTCATAACAAAAACAAATTACGATAAACATTTTTAATTCATTGCTATCTTCTTCACCTGTAAACTAAAGACAGGATGCTACACGGATGAGAGGAATTAGGAGAATAGTTTTAAGTGTTTTCAAATTTTCAAATAATGGTTGATAGGGAAGGCATGGAAATGTATGAAAGAAAAATCGGTACCTGTAGCGACATCTAGTGGACATAGATAAAAGCTAAGGTGAGGCAAATGGAATTTGCATCTTTTTATATCACGGAACAATTAATAATATGCCCAAACAATCCTATTGTATTAAACTCAAAAATAGTAAGTACAACCAATTAGCGTTATATGCAATCATTATTCAAATAATGACATTATATAAAATCGTTTTTACATAATAGAAGCATCATTATTTTATCTTTGGGTTTTCAAACAAATCGCAATCTGTCGCGACATCTATAGGATATCAATTAAGTTTCATATAACTCTCGAGGCAGCTTCCTATTTGACATTAGAAAACCTTTGCAAAATAATGTCTTTCGTTACTTATCCGGTATTTAATATGTAGAGTAACGCAGTGAAAAATATTTTCACAATTTTAGTTAGTATTTTTGTTAGTCTTGCTGGCAGGCTTGTTAGTCCCTAAACAGAATTAAAAACCGAGCAGGTTTAGCTTGGAGGCCACTAGATGTCCACACCTTTCAACTTTTGAGTGGCTGTTAAGTTTCGAAAATTTGAATTATTAAATTTTATACTAGTTTCACAATATACATTTTTCGCTGCATAGTTAAAACTCCAATTGTCCATCTATTCTGATAAGATGACTAGTACCACGTTGCTATTACCTTTTACTTCTCACGCCACTGTGAATGTACGGAAACTGAATGCCTCTCTATCACCAAACAATACAGGCAGCCACCACAAAAACTCAACAGAAAACCTGACCATTTTATCATTTTTTGTTCATGGCAAGATAAATCGATATGTAAAAATTCTTGAATTCTAATAAACATACGTAGATGTTTACCTTTTTTGTCACTTAGTATATCTTCAGGCATGCACTTGTGTTCGAATTCCGTACAGTACAGCTTCTAGCTTCTTGAAATACTGAAAGTTTTCGCTAAATTCATTTGAGAAGTATTATCTTGTCGAAGGTTTGTCAATGTTGATTATTCTGATATATTAGTCTGACTCTATTTAATCAATGACGGGCCTTATTTAATGTCACATAGGATTTTGTTGAAGTGTCAAACCGTCGCGCGAGAGTTGGAGCCCTATTTCTGTTTCAAAACCCCAGCATCTGTAAGTATCTCCAATAGATATCATAGAATTTACACGATAGGTTCAGGCTCTATTTGTCAACAAAACCTTGAAAATCGCAGTGATAGAACGCATAATTTATTTGCGTGCTACTTTCAGAGAGTGAAGTTTTGGATACAAAGTAAAGGTTGTTATTCTTTTGGATTGTGCAAATATTTTGACGGGAGGGGGGGAGGTGGTGGGAATTTTTTTGGAAATGTCATTTGATTTTTGGACCTTTGGGGGCCCCATCAAGCCATTATATTTTTTATTTTACAAACCCATGTTACATTGGAGAGTCGGTATATGGTGTCTATCCAATGTGTGTGAACTTAATATTATGAGCAAGAATTTTGCAAGGGTGAAAAGAGGCTATGTTGAGCTACATTAGCTTTCATCTTTGTGTACGTTCTATTCCATATAAAATCTTTGGAGAATAGTATCCAGGCACATCATGACCATTTGAGAATATTGTAGCGACAAGCTTAATTTGAAGATCTGTTGCATAAAATAGATATTGCTTAATGTCTGTATATTAACAGGTTACATCGAAGATCTGTGGCATCGCTCTGTGGTCTGCTAAGGCCATCGGTAAGTACCCATATTTAGAATGAATTTTGCATGGTAGATCTATTAATGAAAGGCTCTATCTCCATCTATTCCTATATGAACTTATTGGTATCTAAAATTCCATCATCAATCTTTTTTTAGAATACAGATAAAATATTTGACCAAAGATAAGGCTTTAATGGTGAGAGAGAATTTTTCACATAGAAAGTTTCACTTCATTGAGTTTCAACCTTTCACATGCTCATACACCCTATTTCACGAGTATCCATCATGCTTTGACGTCTACTGAGGTGAACATCTGATCAGCTAGTGACATTTTTGTGTTAGTTTGCAACATTGGCTATAATGAATCGGGTGTAAATCTAGCAAAAAATTGTTTGTAGCGTTTTGTTTTTATATGCAAATGAACTTTACCAAATAAAAGAGCTTTAGCAAGAACAAAATGAATATGTAGCGTACAAAAAACCAAAACAAAATATGGCTCTGTCTACCTGGGATTGACGGCTCCGTCAACGCCTGTTGAACCTCTTCGCCTGAGAAGTGTGCCGTTTTTTTGCAAAGTGAATTAGTCAGTAAACTGTATGCATACAATAAAGAAAAAATAAGGACACTTATTTCAAAACAATTTATTTATAAGTATATGTCAGATAAACATAACAATATTATGGCCCGTAATTATATGAATAATAGGCTTCGTAAATTATAAATTTTCTTGCATTTTTATAGACATCACATGCCCAACATTCAATGTTTAAATAGTTTTTTAATTAGAGTAATAAACATGATCGCCTGCAGATATAAGTGAAGCTCAATTATACCTACTTGACACAGTAGGTTCAGTAGTAAGTTGAAGGCTTGTATTGGCTTGTATCTTGATTTCAATAAATATTTTATTGCTTATAGGAAACACGCATACTGTTAGTTTTTTCCCTTATTCTCTTCAGGCGTTCACTTCAGTAAGAGTGAAGAAGTGTTATAGATATACAGTTAAAGATTAATCATGCTGTTTGAGAAAGATTTCTGAGTTACTATAAAGTGGTTTATTATCCTCTACTTTTTAGATCGTATTTAATTTCAAACATGTTTTAAATATTAATACTAGATTTTACTTTTACTGAACAGTTTTGAAGACGTAGAACGTTTTTAGAAGTTTGTCACTAGATCCTATTACATTTATCAAAAACTACATCATAGCGCTGAAATCATGAGGTGTTATATATTTCTTTGTACTCGTCAACAATGAGAGTTGGTTATAAAATCGCATGCATTGAGGTGATTTGTGATGATGAAATGATGATACCTTGATTGAAATCTTGATTCATAAATAAAATGTGTGTGGGTGGTTGGGGGTTTTGGGTTATGGAAGCGTGTGGAGGGGTATAACCATGCTCCATGACCTGTAGATCTAATAGTCCCATCGTTTTTCCTAAAAAATTGGCATTTATTATATACATACTGTTAATAAAGTATGTAGACAAACTTTAACCATCGAATCCTTGGTCAATTTGAAGACTGGAACGGTTTTCTTTTCGAGCTAGAGCACTATCACTAAAGAAATACGAATAACATTAATCTACAAATCCAAAAACTATGTTCCAAATATTTATTGAACAGTTGGTATAACCTATGATAAATTTTGCATGTTTTACAAGTTGTTGAGGCTCAATATGAACGTGGATGAATAGTATTATCCTGTATTTTTGTAAAAAAATTATCTAGAAGGTCAATAGTCTTGAACAGTAACATTCGAATAGATCGACAACGATACAAAATATCGAATAGTATTTTTTTACAATAAATGTTCAAAGTGGCCAGTCAGTGTGTAACAGACTAGACGCCTGTATTGGAGTCGAAGGTGGCCACTTTGAACATTTATTGTAAAAAAAACTATACGATATTTTCTATTGTTGTCGTTCTATTCGAATTGTACTGTTCAGAACTATTGACCTTCTAAATAATTTTTTTCCAAAAATGCAGGAAAATACTATTTTTATCCACGTTCATATTGAGCCTCAGCAACTTGTAAAACATGCAAAATTTATCAAAGGTTATACCAACTGTTCAATAAATACGTTTCATTATTCATAGAAATATTTGGAACATTACTCGTATTTCTTTAGTGATAGTGCTCTAGCTCGAAAAGAAAGCCGTTACGGACCCATGTTCATATGAACATTTAGCCTTCAAATTGACCAAGGATTCCAAGGTTAAAGCTTGTCTACATACTGTATTAACACTCTGTATATTTGCTATAACTCTATTTTGACTAGGCTTGTGAGTGGAAGAGTATTACCCTTCTACAGCAGACTTACGATTATCTAAATACACAACTTTGCCCCCATTTTTAAGCGATTTCGTATCTAATATAGTTTCCGAGATCCCGAAGGTCAAAGTCGAATTTGAAATACCCTGTATATGCGGCAACAGCCGTATGAACAAGCTCTAAGGTACTCCCATTTATTCCTGTGTAAACATACATTCGTAGTTCCTCCGTAACCATAACAAAAAAGGGCAATGTTAAAAAAAGTCCTTAACCAATTCAGCATACAAATTTTGATAGTTTTAAGATTAATCGGTAATTTTAGGATAACTGACAATAACCGGAGCCATTAAATATACAGGATACTAAACTACCCAAAAAGACGGTGGCCTTTTTCAAATAAAATGACAATGGAAATCCTAAGAATTCCAAGAAAAATGTGAAATAATTCAAACACGATTCATATTTACTGGTCATTGGCTACAAAAAATTTCGGATATACGCAGAACTACCCCAGATAGGGGTAAAAAGTACGCGAACAATGTGCCTTTACAATATACTCAGACATTTGCTTTTAATAAAAAAAAAGAGGGTAATAGTACAACATGTAAATATGAACTTCTAAAAGTCTAAAAAATCATAAAAAGATATTGCACTCACTCTTTAGCTGCAAATCCTCCAAAAAACTTTTGTTGTGAATTAAGTTTTTCGAAATACATAGAAAATGCGAAATGATAAAAATCTATTGATTTTCGCCTCCTTTCAAAAGCTTTTCGATCTATTGAATATTAGACTAATGTGCTTTAGGAATGGTGCACTAGATGTTCCCGCACTTGTCAATAAGTATTCTTGATACTTTCACGCATAAACAATAGTTTTCACTGTGTTACGTCAAGTCCGAGAAAAGGGCAAAAAATTGTACTATGGACGACAACTTGACGGATACAAACGCTTTGCGCTCTTTCAAAATAGAAAAAAAAATAACTTGTTTCATTATAAAAAAATTCGCAGTTCCATGTTCCACTTTTTTGACGTATTTTTTTTATATACCGAAGCAGCCGCGCAGGCAGAAGCGTTAGGGTAACAACGCACGATCCGCGCACCGCGGCGGGTGGCGGATGAGCGGTACCGCGGGGAAGTGCGGATTGCTTTACGGAAACCGTCGCGGATGGCTGGTTGCTAGGTTAGTCGTCATGAAACATGTGTCCGCGGTAGCAGCTGTCAAACCTATTTCGAAAAAACGAAGGAAACGTTGTTGTAATCGAACATTTTGGGTTCATCCTCTACTCCAAAGAAGGAGCACCAATGGAACTTTCGTAATATTGTACAGAGAGTTGAGAAACTACGAAGATAAGTTTTTCAACTATACAAGAATGTCAACGGCATCTTTTGATGAATTACTGAACAAAATTAGAAGTTATATAACTGGAGTAACTACGAACATGTGCATGTCTTGAAGAAAATCTTCTAGTTACATTAAGGTAAGTTACACAGAGAGACCAATATATTACGGTCCAAATTTATCATCATTAAACACCCTCATCATATCAAATTCTAAATTTTCTTACATCCTCAAAAAGCGCAATTTAAAATACTAATCAAATTATTCTCTATCTATCAATAATAAAACCGCGCGAACATACGTTGTCGTGAGTGGTCTCTCTACCAAGTCTGAACAAGTCAAGAACCGCGGGTCCGCGCGGTCTCCGTGTTCGCCGCGTGTGATGCGTCCGCTCATCCGCACGATTACGCGGTTGCCAGCGAGTTGTCTGCCAATTATTCCTACACAAACTAACATCCGCGTTACCGCCATCCGCCAAGGTTCGCGGCTCGTGAGTTGTTACCCTCAATGTCGGAACACCGCGGCTGCTATGATGATTCCAAAGAAATTTTGTTAATACGATTTTTGAACTACCTAAGGTTAGGAGAACTGGAAAAAGCTTCCACTTGAAGATTGTTCCACAACCTTGACACCCTCGGGACAAAGGAGCGGTCGTATCGGCCAGTTCTGAATGTACGAAGTTCGACACGGTTACGATGGGACGCCAAAGTTAGGCGGGTCTGTCTGACAGGCACATCGCGCGGCGGCACCATGGAAGAGAGCTCTGAGGAGCAAAGTTCGTTGGTGTAGCGGTAGAAAAGAGCTAGATCGCCGACGGCCCGCCGGTGCGAAAGGGGCCCGAGTCTGTATGTTATAGTCATCGATCCTCTGGATAGCATCGAGCAAAAATAATGTAGTCGGGGCGGCAGCACCCCAAACGTGTGAGCAATACTCGAGGCTAGGCCTTATCTGGAGCTTGTATAGAGTGAGAAGGTCATTCGGAGAAAAGTACTTCTTAGCCCTAAGCAAATAACCTAGCTTTTTCCCAGCAGCTGCGACTCCGACCAGCCGAAATGAATGCTCTTTGGCAGAACTCGGCCATCGAAACCGGATGAGCGCTAGGACGCTTTTTGTTCGTCACAGTACTGTGTTTTGAAACCATTAAACTGTACAAGATTGTTGCGTCCCCATATAGTATAAACAAGAACTTCAGTAATACGACAAAAAAGGGGCTAATGCAGAAGACATTTACTCGTCAAGTTTTCACAGAAAATCAGAATACATTTATTTTTATTACAAAAAATAATCCGAATTTCTTATTTTCGTTTTGATGTCCCAAAAGCAAATAAGAAATAAGAGAAAGCATTTTTGTGTATGTGAACCATTCGTTAACTTTTCGAAGAAAGTTGGAACTTTCACGTTTTTTTTGTAAATTTCGAAAAATAGTTTTCCAATTTACGTTCCAAAGGAAAATAATGCA